CGCACACACACGCACGCACGCACGCGCACACACTCTCTCTCTCTCCCTCCCTCTCTCTCTCTTTCTCTTTCGTTCTTTCTCTCCCTCTTTCTTTCCCCTTTCTCTTCAACAGACAATCTCTCACTTCCGGCAACTCCCTTCCCTCGTCATCATTCTGTACGTGCTTTCTACATCGTCCTCGTCTCCGTCGTCGTTCACATTCACGCAACCACACACACGCGCATACATACATACATACATACATACATACATACATACATACATACATACATACATACATACATACATACATACATACTACACACACACACACACACACACACACACACACACACACACACACACACACACACACACACACACATACATACATACACACACACATACACACACGCACGCGCACACACACGCACGCATACACACACACACACGCTCTTACCGCCAACTATCCCTCTCTCTCTTTCTATCTTTATTCATTCGCCAATACACCTTCGTGACTCTTCGCCTTTAAATCCTTGAAACGACTTATTACTTCTCTTTACAACGAAAGACCGCTTATTTGCCGTCCTTCTCTTTTTCTTTGTTCTCGTCAACTTCCTTGTCCTTCTCTACTTCCTTCTCCTCCTTGTCTGCCTTTTCCTTGTCACCCTCTTTCTCCTCCTTGGATTCTTTAGACTCCTTCGCCTCCTCCTTGCCCTCCTTCTCCTCCTGTTTCTCGGGCTTCGGCAGATGCGTGTTCATGTCCAGGCTGGAGCATATCTCGTCCCAATCCGGGAAACATCGTTCTTTAACGCGCGAGCAATGTCCGACCAAGTTGGGACAGTTCTCGACCATGTAGTCTCGCAGGCTGTACGGCGTGTCTTTGTCGATGTACAGGATTTGAGCGAGATGTGCAAATGCAACTACGTCCATCTGCACAAACCCAAAAGATCGCCAAAAGGTTATACAGATTGCTAAAATTGTAATATATAATCTATGTTTTCTATCAATCTTTTACGTTGAACATAATTTTTTCCGAATCAACATTAATAATATTAAGTAATATTAAGATAAATGAGATTAAAAGTGATATATTTTTATCATATTTATATTATTAACATCTCAGATCGATTGTGATTAATATCCGAACGTTTCGGCGCACAGTCACAGCTGAGATAATTAAATTTAAAAATTAAGAATTTGTATTATATTCATAACATTTTTGACCGATTATTGGCGTTCTTTATATTTATATTTTCATCTATTTATTCTTTCCTGAAGTTCTCTTTATTTTAAAACTAATTAATTTTTAATCGACTGGAACTCGAAAATTATCAAAGTTGAGTCGATAATTGTTGTAATTATTTGCTCAGTCCGATGTACAATCTCTGAGATAACTGAAAACACAAAGCTTTTTCGCACGACGCCCAGCGAGAACGCCGTTTCGCCGCAGGCAGCACTGGTTTCACCGATATTATCTTCGGCATCAAATTACAAGTAACTGAAGCTATTATTTACACAGCGGACCAAGTACCACGTTAGAACGTACTACAGTGGTGCATAACTCAAGAACTCTTGACCGCTATAGGCAACATGTTAACGGATTTGATGATACTTACGGAAGTTGGCTCGTCCCCAAAGAAGAAGGGCTTGTCAGCAAGCGTGTCCGAGAGCACCTTAAGATCGGTGCAGCCGAATTGGGACACTTCCTCCGGACTGTGCACGCCCATTCCCTGAGCCTTCACTTTCCTCGCACCCTGCAACCAATCCAACTACCATCTCACTACAAATGATCACAATATTTTATTCTACAATTACGCTTCCTTATCGCGATACTACCTCTAGCTAGCACATTCATAGCACATTTATAGCTACAAGCGCAATTTGTGCACTCTGCACGAATACTATGAATGATTCTGGAGATAGCATAAAATAAATATTGTGATAACGTGTAAGTAGCGAAACTTGGTCGAAGTAAAATTTGGACAAGAATAACACTTTGGAGATCGTACTAGTTTCAATAAATATTTTTAGAATCTCTGTATATCGTTTCAATAAACTTGTATTTCATAGTCATCACTATATTCCATATTATTAATATTTAGATGAAAATCTCGACCAGAACTCAACTAAAAGAGCTTTAAGATGATAGCTGATAAGACTAGTTACCAATACTGGGAAAAATTATGTAATGACGAAACTACAATCAGTATTTACATGAATGCAATCTAACATAATGTCAGTGATACATGCATAGCTAAAAAATGCATAGAAAACCGTGAACATACGAAACATCGTGCGGTCTCGACAAAATCAATGAAAGAAGGTCGAGGGAAGATTATTTTTGCATACAGCATGACCTTAGTTTGCATAACGATGGAAATAATGTGGAATATAATTATGAAAATATGTAAATAAGTTATATGAAAACATGGATGCAAATAAATTATTAGAATTGAATGAGAAGTCGTGAAACATGGAATTATCATTCAAGTGATTTCTATCTAACGTCCAAGTTGTATGCTAGGTCACACCGAAATCACGGCGAACGGCAAGCGAAACTTACCTTGCGTCCGAACGTGAGCTTGAAGAAGAAATTCAGAATAGCGTTCGGGATACGTGATCCCAAGGCGAGTTGCAGATTGACCTTGTAACCCTTCAACACCTGATCCAAGTTCTTCGTGCGCCAGCACGCGACAACCCAAACGAGGTGATTCTCGATCATGGATATCATGGCATGAGAGACGCTTCGCTGCTCGGACGTGAGACCGGCGTCCAAGTCCTTGCCAAATTTCTGGCTCAGCTCTCGTAGGATGATGGTACTGTCCGCGATTTCCTCGCCATTCAGCTCGACGAACGGCAGCTGACCCTTCTTGGAGCGGAATTTCATCTTGTGATCAACATTCTGGAAACAACCGAATAAGTTAGTTTATTGCCAAAGCGACAATACAATAACAAAATATGTTATGCTTTAATAAAAATATATATTATATTATTAATTTATAACATTTATATATAATAATAGATTTATTATATTATATACATAATATAATATACAATAAAATTATATTGCAATAGCAATAACTGAATGTCAAACAGTATATCTAGAATATACTGAAATAGTTTTATGCAATCTAACGTAAAATAAAAATACATATTTTGACACATCATTTTTTACTCGTTTGTTCAATTTCGCAGTTTCTATTAAATCGCAACGCGCAAGATTCTGCCTTTAATTTGAATAACTCGCAACAAAATCGCGGTGAGATTTTCTCTTTCAAGCAGTCTAATAAAATCATTCCAGATTAATCGATAATAATCGACTGTAACTATTATTCCGTATTCTACAGTGGAATATCGTGAAACGCTCTATTGCGATAATAAATAATATTGCACAGAGATGGATAGGTATACCTACACTCTCGCGAAGCACATGCTCTATTTATAGACGTATGTACCGCGTTAAACGCATAAGTGGGATATCGTGGCTTTCACAGGTGAATCAGCTTATTACATGTAATAACTGCGAACGTTTCACGCGTGGTATACAGGATGTCCATGAATCATCATTTGACTGACAAAAATTCTTTAACGTATTTTTTCTTAATGATAATTTAATTATTATTAGGTACAAATATTCATTAATAATATTCAATTAGATTTACATTAAGTTTCTATTAAAATAAATAATCTTTCTAGAATTAACTGGAAAACAAGATTTTATATCAAGTATTAATACAATTAAAATTTAATTTGTTAATTCTGATTTATAGATCAGATTAATACTTTTGCACTTTTCATGAGAAATATTTTCCTAATTGATTAATAAATTCTTATTGGTATAAAATCGATTTTAAATACGTTACTCTACTATTACCAAGAAGGAGAAATTGCATTGTCCGAGAAATTTTTACTTACTTAATTTTATTATATGATTTAAAATATAGCGAATATATATATAAAAATAAAATAGATTTTATCCTAATATTACTGCTGCTTCATGCTAATTAAAGAAAAATTAAATTTAAATGCTATTTTCACAAATATACTTTCCACACAATTTCGTCACGACAGTATAGTATAATTAATTACGTAAAACGTCACATTAACAGTAATTACACAAAGTGTCGTTTTATCATCAGATTAGTGCCAGTGTCGTTAAACCTGCTAGGTGAGATCTGCGTAATACTTGGACAGTGTGCCTTCTCGCTCGTGCAATTTGCCACGTGGAGCAAGCACTTTATGCTCGTAAAATAAGAAGGATAACATCTCCAGTCAAAGTCAAGTGAGAAGAACAGATAGTAGTACAATGACGTCTCGCCCCGAAAAGCTGCTCGCCGCCGTACCGGAATGGAAATGAAACGGAACAGTAAATCGCACGGAAATTCGTAAAGGCACGCGAGAGGGAAAACGGAGAAAAGGATTAAGAGACGCGTGTGAGTCGGGTGCGCGGCGGGAGCCGTGTCGGGTGTATGAAAAAAAAGGAAAAAAAAAAGGAAAAAAAAGGAAAGAAAAGGAAAACGAGAGGAGGACCGTAATGCTGCGTGAAATTTTAGCCGTGCTAGAGAAAGCGGCGTTATATGCGCCGCACGCGGATCTGCACGGGTCCGTCGACACGAGGAGGAGGCAACGTATGTAAAGCAGAGATCCATTGCTCTAGTTTTAACCCCTTCGGTCGGGCACACGGCGGCGAGATCGATGAGGGCTGGTATATAGACGCTCATAATATGCGTTTGTCAGCTGTACGGGGGCCGACCGAATGTACTTGCAACGGTAAGCGTGAGTTATCCGAATGAGTCATCCTTTTACCGAGTTTCTCGTTTCCCTTGATTGATCGATAGCTTCTTTTTTTTTTTTAATTTTTTTAATTTTTGTCGATTCACTCTCGAGCGATTATTGATTTATGAGCGAAAATATCGCGACATGAAATCTTTCAACTCTATCCAAGGAACACACTAATAAAAGTTAACAAAAAATCAAAATGACTATTTTGATTCTTAACGTCATTAAATAATAAAATTTTGTAACCAAGAATCATTTTGACCTTCATGTCAGAATAGTTTTTGAATCATTTTGACTTTCTCTGACTTGGTGTGTTCCTTGGGTAATTGCGAAGGAAACATGCATCAAGATTGACGCCCATGGTCCTGATTTCACGGCTCTCGTTATTTAGTCAAGCCGATTTTAATCTACAACGTCGATAAAACGAAAAGCAGGGTGGGGTTCGCAGGGCGAACGTTGCTCCGCGGCTCGCCCTCATTCCGACACATTTACGTCCCTATTACGTCATGTTTGTTATTTATCCGCTACATGCTTGATTCTGATTATTTATCCGTTACATGTTTGATAACGATAATAACGAAGGCGAGATCGGGGCGGAGTCGGATGCGCTGAACGTCCATTGCCCTCGATATAAAATGCATCGGCATCCCTATTACGTCATGTTGTTATTTACCGGATTTTCTCGCGTTTTTCGAGAGGACAGGTCGATCGATTCCGGCTGGTAATGACGACGAGGAAAGAAAACTTCGCAATATGTACTCTTCCCGATATAATACAACCCTATTGTATCATGTTTATGGAAATTTCTTTTATAAAGCCATTATTTAAATTTTTATGGTGTTTTCAAAGCGCTATTATGCATTATTTCAATATTATTGATTTGTTATTAGAAAGAATCTTCTAAACTTTTTAACGAAGCTAATGCCCCTATCTGTGACACGCTTATTATATCGTGTTCATGGAAATTTCTTTTATAAAGCTTATTTAAATTTTTATGGCGTTTTCAAAGCGTAATTATGCATTATCTCAATATTATTGATTTGTTATTAGAAAGGCTCTTTTAAATTTTTTATTAATAAATAAGATCCACTAATGAAATTAAGGCTCCTATTCTGTAACTCTTAACGACAATAACAATATCAATATATTATCATTGCGCAGCTTTTATTAAGAGTTACAATTTCCATAACATATAATAATATGAATGTATTATATGGAGAAGAGAGTCGAGAAGAGAGTAAGCCTAGAGATCTTATCGTTATCTTCGATAATTTTCGAGGAGGGAGTTTTAGATAAGAGCCACCCTACATAATCTATTGAAATCGTCTACAAGGGTCAGCCCCCGAGAAGAACTCTTCCAATCTCCGTCCTGATACACCGAAACAACGCGTCCCCATTACATCCCGAGAAAGTACGTACTTCGCGGCTTCGATTCCAATTCATGAGAACGTTAACGAGAAGAGTGAATCCACGGGGCGGGGTCGCCTGAAATGCTCGTTCGTTCGCTCGCTCGCTCGCTCGCTCGCTCACTCGCGCGCGCGGAGGAGCCGAAAGAAGTGGATGGAGGGTGGCTAGCCGGATCGGTGCAGGCGCAAGGGAGGAGCGCGCGAACGGAGGACGATGAACTCGCGCGGCGGCAGGCAGCTTCCGTCGCCTGGCAACGTCCCCACTTGGCATCCCCCTCCTCCTACCGGGTACAGCGTCGAAACATTGGCGCACATGCACGTACACAAACCCACTGCATCGTACACTGCAGCGTGTAATGTGCTAGTACATGCCGCATATATATGTATATGCATTGCACCATGCGCTTGTGTGTGTGTGTGTGTGTGTGTGTGTGTGATGATTTTCTCTTTCTCCCTCCTTCACTCAACACCCCTCCCCTCCGCTCTCTATGTCTCTCTCTCTCTCTCTCCCCCCCCCTCTCACTCCTCGCAGCGCGCTCTTTCTTGTCCTCGTCATCGTAGTCACCCTCGCTGATCGTAGTCGTGGCCGCCGTCGTTTGCGCTGATATTGATCGCGCGGGATGATGCCGTGAACCGCCGCCGACGCCGCCGACGTCGCCGTTTGCGCGATGTAAGAGCGCGCGTATGCATCGCGCCAAAAAACCAGTCTCGATCGCGGAACAAGGTAACAGTCCCTGTTAAAGGGAGATGAGGAAAAGAGACAGAGAGAGAGAGAGAGAGAGAGAGAGAGAGAGAGGGGGGGGGAGGGGGAAAGACAGAGAAAGAAGAGAGACGTCTCTGTATGCGGCACAGATGTGTCCAGGGTCAAAGTTCGGAACGCTATCGATTAGACTGGACCGTTTACGTTAGGTCCAGGTAAAGCAAGGGCGTTTGAACTGGTGTAGCATCGATCGCTTTTGATTACGTTCTATTTAGAGCAGAAGCTACGAGTCTCTTTATTTAGGCTGTCTCAGAAAATTTGCGGAGCACGCGGTCGTTCAAATTATGATATTAAAATCGGACGAGTCGCGAGTAGTTGTTATTTTTCTATCGTCGCAATTAACCCTGCACACTTATTTAAGCACCTTAGAGCGACACGCATGGATTATTTACGTTTGACCCGATTTTGAGGCTCTTAAAATGCTCGAAAAATTCTGTAAAAAATCAAACATGTTCTTTAAAGTCTCTACTAAATTATTCTGCTAAGTAGACGTCGAAACAAGAGTTTGGAAAAGTTCTAAAAATTACACAGGTATATGAGAAATAAGAACTGTTAAAAGTGGCATGGACATGAATGATCCATGTGTGCCGTTGGAGGATTAAGAATCAGACGGTTAGTCATAACGCGAAGTATATAGTTTTAAATATTTCTTATTATTTTTTGAATATGTATGTTTACGATCTTTGATCTTACGAACTGTTACTATCAAAACAAACTGAGACATTTAAATAACATACATAATTAATAAAAAAAGAATAAAAATAAAATAATATGACGAAGTATAAAATACTCCCTCGAAATCTGTTTCCTTAATTCATTTTATAATTATACACTCAAAACGGAAATTATATAAAAAGTAAATCTTATTAATCACAACGTAAGCAGTTACTCGTTTTATGATACTAAGAAATAATATATATAAATACAGCTTTAATATATAAATATTTAATATATATA